CTTTGTATTCCTCACTTATATTGTTTATGGTCAATAAGTGGCACGAGACGATTATGTACACAAACTCGTTAATTTCTTTTTGGTGTTAAGTTAGATACGTTTCGTGTCTTCGATATTGGTGTTGTGTTACGCAAATTTTTCGCGGTTGAATCATCTTGAGGGTCGTCGTGACCAAGGTTAAGTCTTCGTGAGTCTCTTAAGTTTGGACAATGAGGTCACCCGCCCAAGCACGTCTGACTGTTTTTCGTGCTCGCAGTGACTCAAAAACGTGCTTCAGGTCTTCTTTTGGACGCCTGAGGTTCGACGTCCGATGATAACTGTTCTTTTCTTCGCCACGGGTCACCTGAATTGGTACTGTTCGAGTTTAAACATGTTGAGGTGAATACGTGGGCGTTTGTGCATACAAATTAAATCGGCACCCACTTTCCAAGAAGAAGTAGAAGTAATCATACGGTACAATAACGTGCCGTTTTCTTTCGATATGTGAACGACGTTGTTGCAGAGGACGAGACGAAGTGAGATGGAGAATGAGTTTCTTGGCCAAGTGACCTACCTGTTTCTTAGCCTTCCTTCGTGGCACTCACTTGTTGTGGGAACTTTGAACCTTGATAACCCCAAGAGGCGTGGAGGCCGTAACAAATTTCATTTTCTAAACGGGAAAACGCACACCCTTCTTTACTATAAAGATTTATTTTTTGTTCAAGGACACGTCTGGATACAATCCATGACGAATCGGATGCAAGTCTAATCTTATGATAACAAAAAAACTTTCATAAAAGACGAAGACGCTTTATTGTTCGAAAATTCCTATTCGACCGCAAAACTAATCGATTTTACGTCGATCTATTTTAGCTATTATTTTAATTAAACACCGTGTCAATACCAATTGATTTTTCACGGACATCATTGGAGAATAAAATACCTTTTTTAAAGCTTTTTTAAGATTTAAGTGCCCTTATTAACTCCTTGTAACGTTTCCTCGTAGGTTGAACAAGGTGAAATTGTGTAATCGGAGATCGTGCACCTCGAAACAATAGGTTCGAGATCGAGAACGCCATATAACGAGAAACGAAAAAAAGGTATCATTAGAATAGTGTTCTAATAGTGTTCTGTGTTGGTAAATGATGGCGAGAAGTGAAGGTGTAGAGTGGTAAATCGTGTAATAATGAAAGTTTCGATGGATTCGCTCCATTAAATTATTATTAACGTTCCCCCGCGGCAGATTTTAACGTCGGGTGGGTCATTATATTAAACGTGTGAAGATCGCCCGAATCCGACAAAAAGACGTCTAGAAAGACGATATGGATCTGGGTTCCCCTTGCTAATAAATCATATTTTCGCCGTTACCTTCTTGGGTTAATCGTGGCGGGCACGTAATTACCACTAGGAAGTGCCACACGTGGTAAGAAGTTCCTCCTGCTGGGACCGTGCACGCCGAAGACGCTCTTTTCTGTGACCTCATATGACTCTACACTCTAGCAACACACTCCCACACCAACATCCTTGTTTTTTTTTCGCTTCTTTAACGGCCACAGATTCATTAGCGGCGCAGTCGCGTGCATGCGTTACCAGTGCGAATGCGATCTAGATATCGTTCCTATTGTTTACAACGGGAAGATTGATGCCCACGGTGCTAGATTAAGCTAAATTGCTCTTCCTAGGTTTCAACTACAACGCTTCTGTCTGCTGCTTAGAAGCGATTCAAACATTGCCGTTGTTGTTACCAACGTGGCACCAGAGGTAGTTCATAGCTCGCACGTCACTGTTATGCAATCAACTGGGAGTATTTGATCCTCATCTTCCTATACGTATGGTGCTAATTAACACACAACGTCTTTTTTGGTTTTTATTACTTCGCGTGAAACATTTTTTCTTGGATATTATAACAGTACAAAGTGTTGTTGAGATTAACTCAGCGTGAAGTATAATGAAGCGTTTTTTTCATTAAAAGTTTATTTTTTCAATTAGATTATTATTTTGTTTAATTGGTTGAGGTCAACCGGAAGAAGTGTAATGAAATAACGTAACCACTATAAGTGCTAATCGAAGTTATTAACCCGGATTATCGGCGTATATGAAATAAAACGGAATGCGAATAAATTATCCGGTGTGAAATTTATAAGCGACATAATGAGGACTATGACAATTTAAATAAGAAGAAAGTACTTTGAATTTATAATCTCAAAATTGTATAAATAATGTTGGGATATGTGGTTTTACTCGTGGCCTATATGGTGTTTTAGATAACCATTGATTAATCGCGTTTCTAATATTATAAATAATTTGCCAATCAGGATAACGACGCCTTAAGAAACCTTCCGTTTTACAACCGGCTGCTTAAAGATAGTGTGGCGCTGCGCTCCTTTTAATAAAACTTGTCCTACCTGTAATCTCGGACAGGTCTTTAGTCCAGGGAAGTTCTCAATGAACGAGTTTTTGAATTACATCCACATAACATTTAATCGCTAAATTCGATATTGATACGACGCAGTAAAATCGTTAAATTTGTGACGGCAACAAAGATAATGACTTTTATTAACTCGATTTTCAGTATATAAATTGTATAATTTATTGCATTTGTATTTTATTACTAATTGGAATTATGGAAAAAGAAATAATTCAACATCCATAACGAATAAGGTTGGTATAATTTAATAACATTTAAAGATTGAAATTATTTTCTGATTTTCTTTGATGTTTTAAAATGTCATAATAAAACAGTGATAGAAATTTATTACTAATTGGTATGTTGAAAAATGATTTAGCTTTTACTGATTCTAGAATAAATTATTGGTATGAACTAGTTTTGTTGAATAAACACGACATGGTTTCATTTTTTTTTGAGTTGGCTGCAAAATGCTTATTTGATTTTCAAACTGACCTTCTAAAGTATTTCGTGTGCAGCTTTACTACATTTTAGTATATATAACATTTCTCAAAGATAAAATTTCGCGATTTGAGCATACAATAGAAGACACTAATAAATGATGACAATAAATGATAATTTCTGTATTTACAAACATCTCCAACACAATCATTATTTGATGTTGGTGGTGGTTTGATTGAACTAGCAGAAAGTTCTAGCTCGGCCAAATCTTTTCATGTTTGATTTCATGGTGAGAATAAAGATTATTTTGTGATTTAGAATTCTGATCTCAATTGGAATAAATGCTCGAGGAAGCAGTCTGTTTGCTAATAAAGTTCTAATAAAAGCGTTACGTGTTACCAAGCTTCAACGAGAAATTATCCATACAAAAAATATCATCTAGAAATTTCAAAGTAGCCCATTCATAGAAGGAAGTCATAAAATCGTTGAATTCTAATCTGTAAGAAGCGTAATATCGGCTGAACAACCAATAAATAATCTTTGATAATTGTATGGATGCGTACTGGCGAATTCAAAAGGTTTGAAATGAAAATGCACCGAATATTTTATTACAAAAATTCAATACATACTCAATTAATAACGCAAGCTCCACTACCTACGCATTTGCGGAATTTGTACCAAACGTGTTCGAGTGATGTTTGAATAAAAAATGTTTTTTTTTTTAAATTTTTATATTACGTTATAGAATATGCGAACCTTAAATAATGAAGAGAGGAGAGATATGTGTCAGTAATGTACTTGATGAGGGCAAAAAATTAGCTGAAGGTTCAATAAGACCAGTTATATCTACTTAGAATGCGACTTTATAAGCGTAACGGATTCAAGGACAGGTTGACTAAAAAGACTGTCATCCTTATTCGGCGACGATGAATCCACATGGAGAAGAACTTTGGAACGATCAGTAAAGCTACTCAGCGATAGCCACTCCTTATAAAAGCTGTCTTCCTTGCGAACGGGTGATGTTAAATGAATCGTCAGGTTTCCAGAACTCCTGATGCTTCGAATTCCAGAACATAGATAGGTCTCAAGATCTCTTCCTGCATTGAGACGATTAGAATGTTGATTCAAATTTGATATATACTTGATGATATGAGTTTAAAATAAATCTAATTTGATTATTTGCTATAACTTATAAATTACCTTGATTTTGTTCTATTATTTCTATTTTCTATTATTTTACTTCACCATCGAGATAGTAAGAAAAGAGGAAATAAATATATGTAACGAGTTCTTCGAGTGTGTTCGTTTAGTTAAAGGAACGACCCACACAATTTTCCCTGATATAATTATAGGTCGACATGTGTGATTTGCTAGCTATGTGGAGGCACTTAACAGTTCTGAATGTGTTTATAATACGTATCATTGGAATCCAATTAAAGCGTTTAAGAGTTTATTTATTGTTACAACAAATACGTCTCTTAGAACAGGAATCCTGTAATTTCGCCAAGTATAATGTTAACTTAACGTTTTAAAGCAGCAGGATGAAAATTTTCAAAAGGAAGATGATAAGTTACAATTTCCTCTTAAAATCTTTTTTGTATTTTACATCCACATCCTTAATTCTAAACGGTTCAAAAATATTAAATCACATTGAAAATGTACATAATTGGAGATTTATCATTAATATTACGAAAACAAATTAACCGAGTGTAATTTGTTCATGTCTTATACGAGTTTATAGCGATTGCAGAATCTAATTGAAAATAAAGATTAATAAACACCGTTTCTGGAATGTAACTGTTCTTAAGACGAGATCTAATGTTGTCTTAAGATGACATAAAAAAATTAAATAATAATTTAAAGTTAAAGTGTGATATAAAATAAAAGACCTTGAAAACCTGGAAGGCGGTGTTGTTAGGGCTTTGTGGTCTTCCGGAAAATGTTAAGTATTCGCGGTGTGCCAACGAGATGCTCTCATCTCGGTAGATAATGTAAATGCTTAAAATACTTATCGTCTACTTCAATTTGCTCGGCATTCGAAGCTATGGTAAGAAATATCGTCGTTCGGTTCAATAGTTAAATAGACCTTTTATTGTCACTTTAAAAATATTTTATTGAATTTATTGAATCTAAGAAAAATTTATAAATAATTATCTATTAAATATTAATTTACCTTTAATTGAAAATTGTAAATGTAGTCGTTGGTGTTTGTATTGTTGATACAGACCGACACAGGAACAAGAAGAACTATTGATGTTGAAAACTCTTAAGCAAACCGAACCGGCTTAGAGTATAAAGTCGATAGACACTGACACTGAGAAGCAGCAGCAATCTGTCCTTGGCCTTCTTCTTGTCGTCGTCGGTTTTGCGTTGTTTTCGCGGACACAACCACAACAGAAATGCTTTGCCGAGCGACGAACTGCTTCTTTTCCTGCAACAAGTCTTGCAGAGGTGCCGCGTGGTAGGGGTATACCACTACTCGAGGATGGCAGGTGGAACATCAAATATTTATAACTCTCCAGGTCTATCATTGGTCGACCGCGATGGACAGGCCGCGAGCTGCGCTTTTGTTTCGCGCGTTCTCGTCGTAAGATCTTCGCGAGTTTTCGGCGCTCTTACGCAATCACGTCGCGACCTCCAAGACTTCTTTGCCCACTCGCCGATTGCTGCGGCGTCGATGATGGACCGGCCGACCGTTTGCTTAAGACAGTCTTGAGGAGGCTTTCCTCTACTTCGCACACACCATGCAGCTCCTCATCAAGCCGATTCTTCGATTTCGTCGTCCTCAATTTCTTAACTTTAACAGTACTTTTCTTCTCTACTTTGTTGAAACTGTGTTGTTAATTTTCAAAGATGTGTTAATTTATTTTTGTGGTTTACAAATATAATTAGAACCATTTTCTATTTAAATTCATCAAAAAGGTATTTGATTATTAAATCATAAATTTGATTAATTTTTAATGAGTACTATTTAAATCGAAATGGAAATCTGTTCCGTATAATTTCATTTTAACAATAACACATTTAAGAGATCCCGAAATAAATATTCTATGATGAACCATAACCGTGAATTGTATTCATTTTTTCTCTCTAACTTTTTTTATACTCACCGTGAACATTTATTAAGTTCCTAAATTTATTTACTTTGAATGGAAATATTTGGCATAAAGGCATCGACCGAGACCACCGACCTTGCCCATTATTGTCTACTAAATGGCCACTTAAATATCGCTATTGTAACGGTTTTTACTTTACGTTAAATGGTAAATCGGCTGATGAGATTTTTTGTTTCTCTCACAAGCGACGATTCCGAATGAGTGATATTAAATTCCAATTTATATCTTCGTCGTTAACGTTACACCACAAAAAGAAAATTAAATTGCTTGATACTAAAATTGATTGATGCGAACCTTTCGGCGGCATCGTTAGAATTCATAGAATTGGACATTTCAATAGTAAACAATCGGTCGTTTCCACGTAATTAATAGGTTTCTTCTTCATTTTATATGACCCAATGTTCCTGTTTTCGCAATTTCATTAATCTTAAAAACATTTTATGTGAAAATCTTTAATTATATCAACACATTCCGATCTCGTTTGACACAAATATGGCTCGAATTGACCACCACATATGCTCTCTCTTTGACCGCTATGGTGTTATCTTTGAGACTTTAAACCGTTTCATGAGGATTTTTATTCCCAATTCAGATCAAACAACTGTTGCAATAATTATTTTATTTTATTTTGTTCTAAATATTCCGTTTAGGTATTATTTGATTAAGAAAGTTGTTTCTGTGGCGATAACAATAGGTGGATAGACGACGAACCTTCTGAAGAAAGTTTTTTACTTTATGAACTTGCTTCTTCCTGGCTATATTTCTTAATCTTCTTCGGCGAGACTAACTCTACACCAGTGATATACCACAGTCCCAACTGAATCAACCACTTCTTACTTTCCCCAGATGACTCAGCACTTCAATTTGCAATTTTAAGCTCTCCATTAGTAGCTAAGTCAATAAAATTTTCTTCCTTGTCCTTCAAATTCCCATTCCTTACTTTTGCCAGAAGCTTCCTTTGGAAGTGTACCCTCTGCCATTTCTGAAAGCACCAATAAGTTTTGAAATGATTCCACATTTCCATTGTTGCTACTTGTAATTTTATATTCATAATGGCTATTTTAATTACCTCTTATTTACAGAACATGCCGAAAATCTGCTTGTAATTGTAAAGATACCAATAGGTGGTTAAACGACAAACTTTTTCTTGAAACATCTAAAGATTCCTTATAAAATAAATAATCTTTGTAACATATAAAATTTAACGGTTTAAGAAATACGATCTGAACCGTGTAATTTTATTACAACAAGAGCAACAAGTTGCGCATTTGCCGAGAGAAACGTCTCATATATAGCAAATAACAGGTGTAGTGATGCGATACCTTTTCAGTGAGGGGCTGTAACGAGTACCGCCCACCGCGTTCCGTGTAGCTGTATATCGTCTGGTAATCCGGTACGTTACGAATACTACCTGAAATGTTGTTGTGGGCGAGAGATTAGAGAACGTTCGTCGTATCGCGTAATGTACAGCTTAAAGTTTATCTACACATCAGTATAAACTGCAAAAAGCATTAGAGAATATTAAACCAAAAAATGTATGCTTCAAATTCCTAATTAAGATTGTCTGTTATGTTTGAATTTCTACTGGAAATTAAAATAAGATCTTGTTTCTTGAATGGTTAGTTAATTGACGACGCAGCGCATCGCGTCTCGATCTGGACGAACAGAAATTGATATTAATACACAGAGAATTGCAATTAATTGGGTGTCGTTTTTCAATTTTAATTGGTTTAATTAAGGCCGAGGGGAGGAAAAAGTTTTTTATTTTTTCTAATCTTCTTTTATAATGCGCACTTCTGGACGCCTCTTTATCGCGGCACGTTCCTCCTTGAAGAATAAATTAGCCTAAGACGAATATCTCTTCCGAGAATAATTCAACAACACTCTTTGATTTATGTTGATCTAACAATTGTCGGTAACGGTTTTCCGCCTTTTGTGAGATGTAGTCATTTGTCCCACTCTCTTTTGGCTTTTAAGGTTTTACTACGATTTGACAAAGAATACTTTCCACATATTCTGAGTGGGTGAAAAGAGTGAGTTAAAAAAAACTTTGTGGTTAACATCATCCTAAACAAATATTTAATAACTTTTAACTTTTAGAACGCTAAAAAGAAAATTACATATTCAAAAATAACTGTTTAATTTTTTTCTTTTTATTCGAAATGTGTATAAAGTAATTATGTGAAATGGAAAAGTAATCGCCCACACCGAAGATTCCTTTGGGGCAGGGAGAGTGAAACAGTAATTCTCCGGAGTCGAAGGAAGTGGGCAGTAAGTAGGAGTCCTTCCAGTGTTTCAACTTGTTTATCGGCTGACAGCTGCAATCTGCAGGTTTAGAAGAAGGAAACGCGCCGTCTGAATACACGAGGAAGTATCGAAGATTTCTGGATTTGTAGACAGAAATATGTCTTAGGATAAACCTACCTACACGAGTTCAAATTGAAGTTTTTTAACTTTCAATTTGATTGTGTTTAAGTTTAAAGATGAGTAATATTAACTAGTAGAACAAACAAGTAATTTACGTTAAGCATATGGTGTCGAAAACGTTAATACTGTTATATATATATTCTTTAGTTAACATTAGGTTGAACGAACGTAATTACTCATGAACTTGGCGCGGCCTTGTAATGAACACTGGGAAGAAGAAGTAGAAGAAACTGGAGGTGGTATGAGAACATTTTCGAAACGATCTAGTGCAGTGCGGTGCAGACACTGTGCTGGATCGCGTGCTGCCTCTCAAGACCACGCAATCTCTTCGTAGGAATTTGCATTTTCGCTTTCGACACCCATTAGATTTTACATTCGATTCATTTTATTAAATTGCTTAACCAGAACTAGTTCGGATTGGAATCCTTGGAATTTAACTAATTGAATTACTGAAAAGGAAAACGAAAAAACACGTAAACGTTTTGCAAATGTGTCTAACGTTATTAATTTTTTCTTGAATAAAAAGTTGTAAAAGTATAAAAATAAAAATAACTGAAGAAACGGGAGAGCCGCCTATTAACTTCGAATTGGCTAACACGTTATTAATTTTTGCTCTTGGTATATTCAATCAACAAATAATAAAAAAAAATTAAATTGACGAGAACGTCGTCGCCGCCGTTGGTAGCAATTTATCGGGCGAAACCAGAAAAAAATTATAAAAAAATAATAAAGAGTCGTGGTCCGAGGAAATAAAGAGTGGTGAGGCCGACGACGGCGAAACCGTTATATTGGAAAATTAAAATAAACATCTTCGAAAATAAACTTTCATTTCGATGCACAAAAGAATACCATTAGCGTCTTCTTCTCGTGCCATTCCACGCGGCGCTCTATTTATACATCGCAAGGACGTTGAGGTGCTGCCACAATGCACAAGAAGCACAAACCGGTCAATAGACGATCGTAATTACATATCGATACATATTTCAATTATGCGATCAACAATGTGTTCGTCATGTTGCCATAAAAAAAGACCGCTACCGTTCGTATCTAAAGTTGGCATCTCTTGTTAGCATCCTCATTGTATTAATTTATAATATATACACACTTGTAGTGATACACCACGTTTCCTACTAATACTTTGTTCCCCTATTAATCTCACGGGTTTAATTTTCTATCCCAAGAAGATGAACCAATATAACTCTTATCAGATCGTATAATGCGTATCATTAAGTTAAATCTTTTGTGCTATGTAAATTAAAATAATCGAATCATTTGAATATTAATGAAAACATCACAGACAACGTTTTTTTTGTTTTTCGTGATTTATGAACATTGAATTATAGATAATCTAGAAACATTGTAAAATCTCGAAGTAACAATAATCAATCATTCTCCGAAGCTACTTTCTTCTTCAGCAACGACCGCCGCACCTACGTTCTTCCTTTAAAAGTAACAGTAACCAGACGACTCTTGCTTTCAAACCGACCATTGCGTAATCGCTATCGATACTAAGCACGATTTCGTATCGTGAACTTAACTTTTTAAACCATCAAGTTTAAACTGGAAGTTCACGATTTTGCGGGGGGGCAAAGAATAGACCGTTTAGAATTGTTCGCGTTTCGATAAATTTGGAATTCTAGGAGTTGAGGGTACGATAACGTCGATAGGTAGAGTGAGAGCCGACTGCGCTACGATGATATGCACCATAAAATCCAATTTAATGCGCGATGACTCGGATAACGCCATCGTCGGGTTTAATAGCAGAGTAGGCAGTTTGCTGCTGCGGACGATGATAATGGTCGGTATCGTTTTGCGATGCGATAGTAATTGACGGTTGTCCACAATGGACCAACATCACCGATTTCACAAAATAATCTTT